ATTTGTACTTTGATCTATGCCTTTCTGCTAAAAAGCAGAGCACTGGAAATCATAACAACACAAGGTGCCTTCCATCTCCAATTTTCTCACTGCAGGCTTCCTGGCATCATTCATCTGGTTCAGTGATTATGAACCACAAATTGCTGATGACTGAAGCAGCAACAATCATGGGGCATTAATCTGGAAGAATTCATGGCAAGATGATCCATTCATTTAGGAGCTTCAAAGGAAGTCTGCTACAATGTTGCCTTTCCTCCTAATTATTTTTAATTAAAAACAGTGTCAGATACAAAACTGTTTTAGCATAAAATCATTGTAGCCAGGAAAATGGACACCTGAGTTGGTGTTATGCTTCAAGCCTAAGTCAAAAATATGGTATTTACTTTTGCCATATATTTCTGCTGTTTTACCAGCTTCTCTAAAATCAAGGTCATTCCTGTTGAAAACTTATTAAGGATGTACAATGCTGCAGGATTCTTAATCTCAGACATTATGGAAACATGAGTCATTATTCCTATGGAAATAATGAACAGGATATGCAGCATCCTCTCTCTTATTTTGAGATATTAACAGTAGTTAACCACAATTCATGTCGGTCAAATATGGATAAGTTCTGGTTTGTGGCAAGTAAAAATACAAATAAATACAAAAAAGCAAAAACCCTCTCTAACAAGCACAGGTTCAGTGATTTCACAGAAAAGTTAAATTAATAAACATTGAAGTCTGTTTTCTCATACAGTAAATTGGCCACTATAGTACTCGCTTCTTTGTCCCCCAAAGTCCAAATTACAATTCAAGATCTATATCACACCAAGCAGAGCAAGAATTGGGAATTTGTGGCTCTCTACCAGATATTTTCAGGGCGGCGATAAATCATATGAAAACAGTAAAACCATATAATAGTAGTATAAACAAAGAAAGCAAGGGGGAAAAAAAACAGTGGTCAGGACAATTACATCAATTAAAATGTCTGGGAAAACAAAAAAGTTCCAAAACAGCTTCATCAGCACAAGATGCACCTCCATCAGTTGGTGTGTCTACCTATTACCCAGGGATGTAGGAAGCAGCCTTATTTGTTTATATGTCTGCATTTATAAGACGTGCAATGGAGATGTCCTGTGTGCTGGATCTCCACTCCCTGAACATATCTGTTCATATTTGGCGTGCATAAGCGCACCAAAATGTGCCTACTATCCCTGTCCTATTGTTTCTTTTTTTTTCTTATTCGTATCCATTTCATATATTTATAACCATGTTTATTCTTATACCTGTTATCTAATAATTTTTAACAAAATAAATAAATAAATATAAATAAATAAATAAATAAGTAAAAATAAATAAATAAATAAATAAATCTGCCAGATTAGATAGTGTAGGCATGCTCCAGGTCCCTGCCCTGAAATGTTAACATCTAGTTAGACTTCAAAAGTGTACCTTTTCCGATCATATGCACACCTTATCCCAGGCAATCCAGTAGCCTTTCCCCAGCCTTTTAGCATTCCAGAAGGCTCTTAAGACCTGGCTTTTTATCTAGGTGTTAGCGTAGAGTGAGGGTGCTTGGGGGTTAGTTGTTGGTGCATTCCAAGTAGTGGCAGGAGTATTGGGTTTTGGTTGTGTTTTACAGCTTTATGGGTTTTATAGCTTGGGTGGTTTGTCGTAATTGTGAGCAGCCAGAATTGTTTTTAGATGGATAGCAATACAATATTTAAGTAAATAAAAAAGGGATTCAGTTTTTTAAGCATAGCAGCAGTGTGCTTTGACATTCATGGTGCAAGAAGGTGTCTACAATTTGGCATTGTCTTAGGAAGGGTTGTCTTCTAACATGGAGAGAGGTTTGTCTGTCACATTCCTTCCTAATATATACCTACAGCTATCTTAGCTGGGTTGCAAAAATCCAGATCACCACCACCAAATGTGGGGTTTTAATCTTTGCTACCACTTAGTGGTCATCCAGATTGTTGCAGTCTAGGTATAATGGCCCTGGAATATATTCAGGACTGTCAGAAAGCTCACATTTAATAAGAACTGTTAATAATGCAGAATAATAGGATAAGTAGTTTCTATTAAAGTGTAGCTGAAAAATGAAATCTTGCTTCCCTTGTGGGGAAAAAAGAGTATGCAATAGTTCAAGCTAGGAGCCAGAAAGGGGGGCGGAGGGAATCATGAGCAAAGGTCACTTCTTTTCTAAAAATAAATATGGTTTCATGAATACAGTTCCCAAAATTGTATTTTTACTAAAGGTCAGCCTGACTGGGAATTCTCCACATGCTGTCCAATCACAATTTGATTTAGGCTTTCATGACATTTTATGCAAAAGTGAACTTTTGATATTCATTTTCTAGTAATCACATAAAATGTATAATTCACAAATCAGTAGAATTAAAATCTTATCTTCACAATAATAAAGACACAGAAACAGTTATTTTAGAAAGGGGTATGAGAATATAATTGGCAGAAAGGCATTCCATGAACCCCATACATGTTAGCAAAAATTCACATAAATCCTCCTAGATATGCATGATCAAATATTTGTAATTTCAAGGGATATTCACAAGATCTTAAGAAAGCTTAGTGAGTTTGAGCTAAAATGTATGGCTCTGTCATGGTATACCTTTATGGTAATTCAATAGGAAAGGGATTAACACATCTCTACAATTTCCAAGGTGGTTGGAACAATTTATTGTATTTGGGATGTACAACTCCTGAAGCAACAAATGTGTTCCCCTTTCTTCATTGGATGCTTTAAATTTTTAAACAATAAATTTATGCCTTTGAAATAACAAATTTTGTCAAAACCAAATGCCCCATATCAGCAGTTATGATGTTCTTAACTGTATCAAAACTAAACAAATATTTTTAAAGTTAGTATTAATGACATTTATGGCTCATGAATTAAAGAATTGGAACACAAGCTTGCAGTTCTTGAAAATATTAAAGCTGCTTCTGTGGATATAAAATTAAAATGGATTCATTTCAACTGTACTGGACACCCCAAATTTTAAAGGATTTAAAAGATTAATATCTGTTGGTGATATTAAAAAATTGAGAGGCCATTGACTGATGATTTGGTCCTGTGATTCACTAAAATCTTTTTAGAGTAATATTTTAATACACATAGAGGTGAGGAATTTTTAGTCTAGAATGTTGATGTTAAATTATATCTGAAACTTTGGAAGGTTATTTTTGAAGAGTTATTAAGTTTGAAAAATAGTAATATTCCTGAGATTAAGGATTGGATTCAAGAGATCTGCGATTTGTTTTTGAAAAGATAGTCTTATCCACTAATCAAAAAAATAACTCAGTGTATTTTTCAATGGCATAGGTTTCGATATTTTGTAATCTTCCTCTCTTTTTTGTCTTTTGTTTGTTTAGTTTTTCATTTATTTTATTTTCTAGTGCTTTATGTATTTTTTGCTATTCTTTCTGTAAAACTTATACTATACTTTCAAATAGGCACCTATAGCTTTTATTTATACTTATTTCACAATGCAAAGGCTCAGACTGTGTGAATGCAATCCTGAAACAACTTTCTCATGAGTTGGGCCATCAATAGTAGTAGCCCAGATACATTCATAAGGAAGTTTAAGTTTGAATCCTTACAGAGTTGGAAGAGATGTTGGAAGTCTTCTAGTCCAACCCACTGCTTAAGCAAGAGACCCTATATCAGGGGAGTCAAACTCGTGTCGTCACGGCGGTGTCACATGACGTATTGGGACTTTTTTCCCCTTCACTAAACCGGGCAGGGGCGGAGCCAGCACTTGATGCATCCAGCCTGCAGGCCGTGAATTTGACACCCCTATCCTATATCACTCCAGACAAGTGGCTGTCCAGTCTCTTCTTAAAAGCCTCCAGTGATAGAGGGCCTACAACCTCTGAAGGCAAGCCATTCCACTGGTTAAATGTTCTCAGTGTTAGGAAATTTCTCCTTAATTCTAGGTTGCTTCTGTCCTTGATTAGTTTTCATCCACTGTTTCTTGCCTTGCCTTCTGGTGCTTTGGAAAATAGGATAATCCCCTCTTCTTTCAAAAGTATCCTTCTTGAAAGAGAATTTTGGTGATGCAACTCCTACAATTTAAGACATCCTTGCAAAGATTTGTTTCCTAATGTTAGGAATTAATGTATTTGTATATTGTTTCTGCCATATAAGGCAGTGCTTAGGAGAGTAGGAAAATATTCTCTAAAATTGCTATTTTAAAATTTGACCTTAGTAATAATACAATTTTCCTTAACTTGATGTTATTAACATCCCAACCAATGGGGAAATCCATTATAATTGGATTGTATGTTTTTTTTTAAGTTTGTACTAATTATTTCATTTGTTGGGTTCACACTGCATAAACCATGCTTAACAAACCACAATGACTTTACACAACATGCTAAACTAAAACCAAATAAAACATAAATTAGGATTGTTTCAGAAGAAATGCTTCAAACCTCACATAAGCATAGTGCCTTTCTTCTAGTCATTAAAAACCCACTCATTAAAATGAATGCAACTACCCTTTTCTTTCTTCTGAATAAAATGTTAAGCCCTTTGTTGTATCAAACAGTTTACTGAATATCTGTGCTCTTTCAGGATTAAGCAAATTTATAATTCACATAGATATAATTAAAATACCTACAACAAGTCTAAGGATCCTATTATCATCACAATCAAGTTAAATAGTAATAGGAAGCATATGTTTGACTTGTTCACTGCATACATAGAATTCTTAGAATTCTGAAAGCTTTAAGATACAAAGAGTTCTCCAAACGTTATGTGGAAATAAATCCCACTGAAGTAAAATCCCAGTGGAATTGACAGCTGAACCGACATGCATGGGATTGTGCTATTCATTGTATGTAATTATAATTTTGCAGCAAATAGTTAATTGCTAGATCAGTGCAGAGGTCAGTGCTTTTTATGCAGTGAATTAGTCATACTAAATACAGTATAAGGGGGGGGGGCAGGGAGAGAAAAAGTCACAGAAATCATTACTGCTGCTAGAACAAATAGGTGCTGGTAATACAATGCTTTGTACAATGGCTAATAGCACTATGACCCACTAAGGAAAAAAAAATCTGTTAAATCAGAGCCATTAATTGCCTGTGTGACTATTGGCTAATAGCAGAAAATCACGTGGTGAAAGCTTCTTTTTAAAGGCATGAGTGAGGTTAGTAACAGAAGTGGTGATTACATTGAGGTTTGCAGGAAGGTGTTTAGAGTGTGTTATAAGACAGTCCTTCACAATGTGTGAACCATTTTTGGGAACTTGGAAACTAATTTCAAGTGAAAAGTTTGATGACTACATGAAGGAGCTGGGTAAGAATTATTTGTTGAATTTAGTAAAAAGCTTTGCTTTTGCTGGAGAATGTGTTTAGGTAGAATTTTTATTAGGTATGTAATTATTAGTGGACTTGTTTTGTTATAAACTTGTGACAATATAGCTCCTACTTTCTTTATTAATGGTAATGTGGAGGAAAACCTGTTGCTTACATTATGTTAGCTGTGCTGGATTCCAGAGTAATCCATGTTATAATGTATGTCTGTTAAAATGCAAACTAAATGAATTTTTATCAGGCTTCCAACTAATTTTTGAATGTGCAAACTCTGTTAATAATATAGCATGGATTAAATATTACAAAAGCATGCAATCATGTTTAGGTTTTGTATAGCATTTGTATCCAGGTTATGTACCACAGGAGTGTGAAGGGCTCTTGCTACTTGTTTACTTAAATGTTTATTGTCTGATATTTTCTCAACATTTGTATCAATGTTCTCAATGTATGTTAACAAAATACTCCAAACAGAAGAAGCTCTGATTGGATGCTCCCTTATATGAAAGCTTATGGTTTTTTCCCCTCTGGCCAAATGTGAGCAAGGTTTGTGATGCCTGGCAATGGTTGGCTGTGAGTTTTGAACTAGCAGCAACGTTCTTATCAAGACATGCCTGCTTTATATTAATGATACTTCAAAGAATTGGCCTGTATTGGCTTTGCATTGTATATCCATTACCCTTTTTAAGTAGAATGCTGGTCCCTTATTTAACTGGTGAAACTAATGTATGCAAATAACCTACTCCCAATATTAATTATATTGTGTCTAACATATTTAGAGATATCTTTATTCCTATGCTGTCTCTCTGTGTGTGTGTTTGTGTGTGTTTGTGTGTGTATGGCAAAGGAATAAAGATACCCTCAAGTTCAAGGAGGCCCATAGTTTTATCCTGGGACACTTACATTGTTTGCAGAAGCTTTGTACTTCATTTTCTGGCTAATGGCACTTCTAGCAGTAAGTGATATGGAAGACTTCTGGGACTGCTGCTAACTTGGAATAGACAATATGGCAATAAAGGGATAGTTTTCTGCATCTCTTTACCCTCTAGTGATTGTATTTTTTGCTTTTTTCTGTCAGCAGGCTTCACTTAAATAAATCATAGCTCAGTACTATGTGAGAATTAAGTTTCTCTCTAGGTGCCTAGGTTTCCCACGTGCCTCTGCTGCTATTCAGTGGTGGGATTCAAATTGTTTTACCACCGGTTCTGTGGGCATGGTAGGGGTAGAATACTGTAAACTCTCCAGTCAGAGGTAGCATTTGCCGGTTCTCTGAACTACTCAAAATTTCCCCTACTGGTTCTCCAGAACTGGTCAGAACCTGCTGAATACCACCTCTGCTGCTATTGTTAAACAACCTGGGGTACAATCTTCTTAAATATTTGTAGAGGTCAACTGTTACAAAGATAATTTCTTCAAATGAAATAATGCAGATCTGGATTATATCAAATTATGTAGAGTAAGGAAGTTAGTTTATGTAATACTTATTTCAAGAAATTATATTTGCCTCCAGTTTTTTGAAAAGAAAATTCAGTGGATGAATTACCTTCAATGGGTGTAAAAATGAAGGTAATATTTGGTAAGGAAGCCATTGAGTAAAGTGCTTGTTTTTTTGTTTGTTTTTTAAAGGTTATGCTCTGGACAAACATAGAAAAAGCTGTTCTATTGCCTTAGAATGGAAGAACACACACCCCCACCTACATTGTCCCATCACCATGGAAGCACTTTGATGTGTTCTTGCAAGTCATAACTTGCAATCATGTTATGCATGAAGCAAGCACCAGTTAAACTTCTTGATGCTGGAACAGGATAATTTGCTATCACAGTAGTTGCCATCACTTTATCTTATAATTCAGGTCTATATTACTTTAAGAATCAGAAAGCTTCCTCCAATGCCCGTTTAGGGAGATGTGTAACAGCCTGACTTTTGATCTGAATACTTCCCATTAATGTATGACTGCCCAGTGCAGAAAACAGGACGCTGTATAGGACCAACCAGATCCTGACATTTTTTTTCCAAAGGTTTCTGGGAAATTATCTTTTTCAATCTGTTGACAGCCTGGGTAAATACTGCCCTGGATATAAGGAGGGCTTTTAGTATTCCTCTCATTAGTTTATAGTTTGATTCATTTAAGTATAATGTTGATGGATTTGAGTAATTGTAATAAATAGTGATGTTGCCTGAAAGGAAAAGCCATTTTATGCTATTTGCTAGCTATTTGTCAGCTAGATCAAATGAAATCAAACATATTAAAGCTAATTGATGGAAACTGCTTTGGATTTGATATACAAAATATAACAAATAGTTGGGAGAGAATAGAGATTGGATTGGACAGTTGCTATATTATTTTCAGCCTAGTTTATGGCAGACAATAGAGTCACCTAACTCAATTTACTACATAATTCAAGTTGGCCCTAAACAAATATCCAGCTTGCACACCTTGCCCTAAAACCTGTCTCACCTCCAGCTGAATTTTTCTTCAGAGAAGTTCTAATCAAAGGCAAATCCCATCAAGATAAAAATGACTGTAGAAAAGGAATTCTTGTGTTTAAACTCCTTACTCTTATTCTGTAGGGGTTTGGCTATAACCCATCTTGAATCGAGTCTTTATAAATAGGTTTTTTTTTTCAATTCAGTCCTCAAGGTCAAGAAATTTGTGATAAATTCATGTTTTTTGGTTTGATTCGTAGGTGTGGGCTTTGCCACTAGGAAAATAGCTGGAGTGGCCAAGCCCAATATAATTATCACCTGCAGTGGGGGTGTTATAACCATCAAGACCGAAAGCAGTTTCAAAAACACTGAGATTTCCTTCAAACTAGAAGAAGAATTTGACGAGACCACAGCAGATGACAGAAAAGTAAAGGTGAGTTCCCTACTTTCCCTTAAATCATTTTGGTTGAGTACATTTGGACTCCTGGAAATGTGTTGTGGACCTTCTTGGAAAATGGGAACTTCCACATTTATAAAATGATGAACGTTTGGGACATGAATACCATCTTAATGAGTTGGCTAAGAATTCTAGCAAGCTTAAGTTGGGAAACAAGGGCTTTAAGCTCTTTCATCCTACAAGATATTCCTGTTTTCCTGATTTCTGGGGAGGTGACATCCAAGCCCAACAATGGGCTGCAGCCACATTTTGTTAATTAAGAAGAATATGCAGTTCACTTGAAGATCTAAAGCACTGATGATGTTTCACAATCTCGACAACTTGAAGATGTGTGAACTTCACTCCGATAATTCCTCAGCCAGCCACGTAGCATGTCAGTTTCCTGCTGATTAAATTAATGGTTTTAGATATAAAATTTGGACACTCTATGAAACTTGGTGGATGCCAACAAAGGTACAGGTAGTCCTCAACTTACAATAGTTCATGTAGTGACCAAAGTTGCAATGGCAATGAAAAAAGTGACTTATGGGCATTTTTAATAACCGTTATAGCACCCCATGGTCACATGGTCAAAGTCTTGGCAACTGACTCATATCTGCAACAGTTAGTCCCAGTGTAATGTGATAATCATTTGCCATCTTCTGACAAGCAAAATCAACGAGGAAGCCAAATTCACTTAACCACTGTGTTACTAATCTAACAGTTGCATAATTCACTTAACAACTGTGGCAAGAATGATCATAAAATGGGGCAAAACTTACTTAACAACTGTATTGCTTAGCAACAGAAATTTTGGGCTCAGTTGTGGTTGTAAATTGAAGACTACTTATATGTGTATATATTGAGCCAATTTGGTTATGTTGATTAAGGCCCCAGGCTAGAAATTGAAAGTCTGAGGTCTAGTCCCGCTTTAGGCATGAAAGCCAGAGGACAGTCAGTTTCTCTCAGTCCAACTCACCTCACAGGGTAGTTGTTTTGGGGGAAACTAGGAGAAAGGAGTATTAAGTACAGTTCATTTAGTGATCATTTAGTGACAAGTTACAACGCCACTGAAATAAGTGATTCATTACCATTTTTCACATTTACAGTAATTGCAGCATCAATACTTGGCAACTGGCATGTATGATGGTTGCATGTTCCAAGGTCATGTGATTCACCTTTTGCAACCTTCTAACAAGTAAAGTCAATGGGGAAGCCAGATTCACTTAACAATTGTGTTATTAACTTAACATCTGCAGTGATTACTTAACACTGGCAAGAAAGGTCCCAAAATAGAGCAAAACTCACTTATCAAATGTATGGCTTTAGCAACAAAGATTTTAGGTTCAATTGTGGCCATACCTTGGCCATACATACCTGTATGTTTGCCTCCGTAAGTTATTTATAGAAAAGAAAGGCAAAATAAAATTGATGCCTCTGAGATCATGATGGGCCCAGATTTCAAGAGTTTTAGGGAAAAATTATATACTTCAAATACATCTGAAGAGATTGAGAAGACTTCTGTCGTATACATCAGCCCTCCAAGGCTGACCAGATTAGGAAACTAATTCCTAATAAGACCAGAATATACTTTATTGAGATAGGTTATAGTAACAAAATTTGCTTGTCTTTTACCTTACTTCCCACTGATACCCCGTAAAGACAAAGGAGCCAGCGGTAACCTCTTTCGGATACTTCCCCCTTTCCTAGAACGGAAGGAATGCTTCTGAATCTTCTGTTTAAGCCATCTACATGGCTCCCAACTTATATGAATAGATATTAGGTGTTCCATGCTATATAAATATATGTTGTTTCTGGCTGTGATTATTTTCTTGCAGAGAGCAGAATTTTCACCATGCTAGTAATTTCATTATTTTTTTTAAAAAAAACCATTGAATACAGATTATTGTCTTACTGAGATGCACATTGTGCATAGTCTGAGGACTGTGTTATTTTTCCTCAATTGATTCCTCAATTGATTCCTCAATTGATTCAAATGCTGCATTTTCTTCACTAGGTTGTAAAACTGACCAGATAATTTTTCTTGGCAGAGTATTGTGACACTAGACAATGGCTCACTCAATCAGGTGCAGAAATGGGATGGCAAAGAGACAACAATAACAAGAAAAATAGTGGATGGTAAAATGGTTGTGGTAAGTTCATTTTTGGTTATAAACATTTTGGGTGTTTTACAGCAATAGAAATTATAAGTTTATGAATGAATGTTTTTTCAAAGGGGAAAGAGTAAAACAAGTAAAGATATACTATTTTTCCTATTCTATAGAAGAAAGATGTGTCTTATTTTGGTTGGTGAGTCAAGAATTCCTTAAAATTAATAAGCAAGTTAATACACTAAAGCTATTTTGAAAGTAGAACAGTATATCTTGTGTTATTTTTTTAAAGTATTTAAAGCAGATCTCATTTTGAGAGCACTATTTCAGACTCTACTACAACCATTCTTCAATTCTCAATCTGAGAATACAGTCACATTGGCTCAAATTAAAATAAAAATGCAACAAACATACTTTTTACTGTAGGATGATTTCAAAATGAAGCAAGTTTTAAATAATATGATTCAGTGGCAGCCCCTAGCAATGAGTTGACTGGAAACGAATGGCCCTAGCTGTGGCCAAATGGTGATTATACATTTATAATCTATAATTTTTACAAGAGCAGAACAATGGATGAGATTGAAAAGTGATATTGATGGATGTTGAAAGTCATTGGAAATTATGCAGCTATGCTGTAATCTCTAGTGGGGCATGCAGGGAAACTCTACTCTTTTGATATTTAAAAACCTTTTCCATAGGCATCATCTACGTGCTTCCAAAAAGACAAGTGAAAAGAAAAGCCTAGTAATTGAAATGCTGTCTTGATTATAACAAAGAAAAAGCATTCTAGCAGACAATTTCTCACTGAAAAATAATTGGAAATACTCTTCTAACTAGAAAAGGTAATGCCAACCTGCCATGTATGAGCTATGGCAAGAGCAGTTTCATGAATATGAGAAGTCATTCAGATTTCAGGATGAAGTTGGCATGCAGGCACATGTGCAAACAAGACAATTGAATTAACTGGTCGTTTATGTGACAACACCAAGGGAAGGGTCCTAAGCAAATGTGTTTTCAACAAAAATATCCAGTAAGGTATTGTGTCGACTTGCACAATCTATGAACTGTGGAAACTCAAAGGTGTCTTAAAAACTATTGCTTAAATATTCTGAATATTTTCTTGCTAACCTTCTCAGTCTTTTGTACAAGCATAATTTAAATTATTTAAAAACACTATATTTAGTCTATTGTTAAACAGAAAAGTAAGTCAAATTCTCTTCAAGCAAGCCAAAAGAGCAATTTTCAAATATTGGAAATTGTTTTTCTGGCCTTTTTGGAGAGAATTTGTCTAATACAGATTTCAGTGGTCAAGGATATAAGCACATATAAGCAGACTTAAGCAATATGAATCTCATTCCCTTGGATATGATTTTTAATAAAGCATCATTGCCTAGGGTCATGCAATACACTATGCCAAAATTGGCTTAGCATGTTGCATCTATCCAAGTCTTGTTGGCTTACTTGATAGCCTTGTACTTCATTTGGATAAAGGGATACTTGATCCATTTACTGAAAAATAAGTGTATTGCTGACATGATATAATGGTGATATTCTTGCACTTTTTTCTTTCTAGGAGTGTGTTATGAACAAAACTGTCTCCACTAGAGTGTATGAGAAAGCATGAAAAATCCATGTTGTACAAATTAGAGGTATCTCAAAGCAAAATATGAAGTTTGATTCAGGGAACAGACAGAGCCTGTTCTTCAGAAGCTGAATTTGACAGGCCAATCCCAATTACTTTTGTACCTATTTCAAAAACATTATGGTTATTCAATAAAGTGTTTATCTTGAAATAAAAAAGTTTCTGGCTTAATTGTAGAAACTGAATAAGGATCAGTACAAATTAGATTTTCAGGTTCTGTTTATGGGATCAACTAACCCTCATTTCTCCTCACTTATTGAAATATTCAAAAAAAAACCTGACTAGTAAATAATGGAATAGGCTAAAGTGTAACTGCCCTGCCTCACCGATTCTTTTGTAACACATACATTGAAAAGTTCATTGTTTCTCAAGTGCTGTGTTTGCTGTTTTACTTCCTATAGAAAGATCAATTTTTTAAAAATGCTGGAATAAGTATACAGTCCACGGCTTCAAATGGGTGATTTCAGGAATAATCTTTTTGGAAGCATAATTTGTTAAAACAAGTTTCTAGGATTCTTTCTGAGAATAAATTAATGTCTTTTGGGGAAAATAGGAAGGGCAGACATTGCTTGTTATGCTATTTGGGGCACCGTTCCAAGAATTACCCATATTGGTTATCTTAAAAAATGTTTAAAGCAGGACTTCTAAAATCTCCAAATTTCATATCAAAGTTATGCAGTGGACTTGGCATAAAGTGATTTGCTATAACAGACATGGCAAATGTCAGCATAACTATATTCATTTACCAGGACATTAGATTGACCTTTTTCTCAGTTGGTATGCTGGCTTCCTAAGAAAGCATTGGCTGTACAGCTTCTAGCTCTCCTTTCCCTGATCTAAGAATGCTTAGGGATTCCAGAAACAGTCAGAAATAAAAGATGGAGTTGGTGTTTAACTTACAAGAATCAGTTTTCCCTTCAAGTATTTTGAGTATAAAAAGGGAGGTGGGAAAGGGAACACACCAGAAACCAAGACCAAATGCAAGAAAGCTCCATAATGGAGGTCCAAGTGC